AAAAACATTGATTAGTTTTTATTTTATTTTATGTGGAAGCAGAATAATGTTGGCTTAATGCTGAGAAGTTATTCTCTTACACAAGATAAAGGCGTTTACATTAACACTGTTAGTGGTGTTTGTTGACCGCTCCACTACATACTTAAATAATACAGCACCATGTCGTCATGTTACTGCACGCAGCAGTGCAAACAGAAACGAAGAATATCTGATCCTGTTTACAATAAGCTCACGTTCACAAAATAAAACATACGTTTCTTAAGTTTGTTATTTAATTTATTTCTCAAATAGATTCAAATGACTATAACAGAGACTGACTTTTTTAATAAGACATACTCTAAACATGGAAAAAATTAAATATAAAACATCAAATAATCCAGAATACTGTCAGGCACAGTGAAGGTAGAGGTTATTTACCACCGTGATTTGCATAGAAGATATACAGTTATGAATGGCAGGTGCCCTGATGCCCTGAGGACTGAGCTGCACAGACAGTCTGCGACAGAAGGACCTGATCAGTCTGACGTCTCTGGTTACCGTTCAGGTAGAGAACAGTTCATATCTCACACACACACACACACACACACGCACGCACAAAAGCAGGCATGTAGTAAAATGTTCTGTACGATAGGAGCGACAGCTTGTTGACTTACTGAAAATATCACTGCTGTCTTATTCAGACAACTGTCTCTAATGTATTCTGCTCTCAGAACACATCAGTGACAAAACCCTACCTGTTGTACTGTACGCAAAGATATAATTATATTTGTCATTTCTCATCATGGGCCAAAAAAAGAAAACTTTTCTTTGAAATGACTTTTTCAAGTCTCATTTATTTTGAGAATTCATTTCATTAGCACTAAACTCAAACCTCAGCTGAGGATGATGACAAAGCCAGTTCTTGTAAAACAACCAAGATGTTCACAGTCACAACCATAACATGCAGGTATCATGTTTACAATGTTCACCATCCTAACTTTGCAAGTTAGCATACAAGCATTTGCTAATTAGCAATAAACACAAAGTACAGTACTATTCCATCGCTTCCTGCATCCTGTGTTTGAAGCTCTGTAACATCTTCAAAGCACATTGGGTATTTTCTGACACAAGACTCAAGCCGGTGACTGGTACTGACTCCAGATCTGACTGAAACTCAAAAGGGCCACAAAAAAAAAAAACAATCGAGAAACATAATTAAAAACCAAATAAGGTTTTGTGTGTGTGACTGTAACCATGATTGTGTGAGAGCATACTATTTGTCTGTATACTGAACCTTGCACACAAACCAGCTGGTAAAGAAGAGAATGACACATCCCCAGGCCTGGCCCCAGCTCAACTTTGGCAACGCCCAACACCTTTGCAACACACACACAACACACACCCTGAAAACTCCTTCAGCCAGGAAGCTGAATTTTTTTTCTTCTTGTTGTTTTTTGAAAATTTCACTTTGGTCATAAAGACAAGTCAACCCACACACATATTCTACATAAATATTCAGTTTTTCCTGCCGAGACTTGTTCACCTATAAACTGCAATTAGTCACTCTCATAAGTTCACAGTTGTTGCTGCATTTAAACACAGAGAAGGAGGCAGAATGTTGTGGTTATTTTCCTCATGATTTCATAATAAACATCTCTAAAGCCTCAAACCACTGCCATTAGGAATCCTCCTCTCCCTCTCGCTCAGGTTTCACAAAGGATCACTAAGACGTGACAACTATCTTATCCTTCCAACAAAGCTCAGGGCCAAGGGCTTAGAGATAACAGCACAAGCCTAATTTTTCTATATAGCATGGCCACGTTTGACTAAGTTGACAAGGACGAACCCTGTGTTTATCTGTTGAGGCAGGTAGAGTTGGCCTCAGGGTAAAGCTAAAACCACAAGAGTGAGAGGAATATTCTTCTGCCCCCACACACTTCAGAGGTCATATAAAGAAAACCCTGACGTCAAGCTGCCCAGCCTGCTCAATGCGGGTAGGTTGAACACAGTGAATTATGAGATTATGAATTACAAGACATTTCAAAAACAGCACAATCTGGCTCCACATATGACACAAATTTAGCTTCTTAGCTGCATCAAATCAACAAATGTGTGGTAAGAAACTGACTCCCAACCTTTACCCTGCTGCTTACATAACAATCTCACTTAAACTTTTCAGTGTGCCAAGAGGACACAGACACCTTATGACAATGCGGCGTCTTTGTACAGACCAGACAAAAGCTGGTTCTCATGACACCGCAGTCATGTCCCAGGTATCTCTTAAACCCTCACTTCTTAAAGATGAGTAAGACCTGAAACCAAATCCCACAGAGGGAGACTTTCACCGTAGTCTGCTATCAGGGAAATTCGTGAAAGCAGTTATTGTTTGGGCCTATTTTAAGCCTTTCTCAGGTGCAGGTACATGACATACTGCACAAGGCTGAGGAAAGGTTTATCTGCTACAAACCAGCACAGCAGCTGAATGGAAACATTCTGGTGAAGAGAAACAAGTCCACAGGAATGCAGTAGGGACGCATGCACAAAAAAACCCATACACACACCAAGTATAGTACTAATGCATTCACACTCGCTAACTTGAGTCATGCTGAGAAATCTGAGCTGTGGTAAAATAAAAGAGAAAGTAATGTTTGCTAATGTCTTGTGCTGAATTAAGTAATTAATATGTGAGTTGACAGGAAATGGATTTCTCTTTTGAAACTGGCTTAAACTGTTTGGATAACCTTTAAACAAAACGACAACAATTCACTGATCCAAACCTCTTAAATGTGACATCTGTAGTAAACTGGATTTCCTTTGGTTTTGGTGTCCTGTATTCGATGCTCACTGGAGTCAAATCAAACTACACAACCTTAGAGAATTTCAGTTATTTGGAGTAAGCCCAAAGGACACAGGGTGACCAGCTATTATAGTAAACTAACCTCAAAGTCAGGCACCTGAACCTGTACCTGAACGGAGAGGGATGTTTTTTTTTAACTATGCCTGTAATTCCACCACTTGTCCACACTGAACCCAGCTCTGCTCACAGCGCTGAGCCTTACGGAAATGTCACAAAGCAGACCATTAATCCCCCTGTAGGTCCTTGTAAAAGTGAGTGAAGGCACTTGTTGATGTTTACCTGACGTGGCGTACTGTGAGACGGATCCATTCTGACGCGGAAGTGTAGACTTTTGCGCCAGTCTCATCTGGACCTGCGACTGGACGCGCCGCGCTCTGGCCACCTCGTCCGACATGGAGCCCCCGTCGGACGGGAATCCGTAGGTGGTGACCGAGCTGTTGGGCTGTAAAGCAGACATAAACACGCTCTCTGAGGCCACGGTACTCATGGTGACAGGTTAAGACAGACGCTAGAAGGGCGTCTGGACTACACACTGGCGTGGACACGAACTTATCGTGTTGGCAGCTGACACTGTCTGAAGTGACGTTCAGAGCGAGCAGAGCCGCACATCAGCGGGAGGAGGAGCCTCCGCGAGCCGAGACCACCTGACTCACAGGTGAGCCGGACTCCGTGTAGATCACTGCGCCGCTAAATCGGCTAAACATTTTGAAAACAATGTACCTCAGCTTTTCTGATTTAACCTCAGAAAGCAAGGGGATTGTGAAATGTTTGTGAGGTTTAATTTCACAAGTAAAGACCTGAAAATGGCAGGAGGCATTTTCTAAAGAACTATACTTAAGTAGCCTAACAATAACACAGTGGAGAAATATTCCATTACAAATAAAAGTCCGGCATTCAGAGTATATCAGGAGCCCAAGTAGTACAATGTACTGACAAAGTATTGGTGCAAGTATTGGCAGCAGAATGTATAAAATATAAGTATTGAACCTATAAAAAGGTGACTGAATATAAAACAACCCATTCAAAATAATATAATATAATGCATGTATATTAAGAACTATACCACAGCATACATTTTTAAAAAAATCTGCCTGTACTTAGAAATTACTTGTAATGGAGTATTTTATATTGGGCTATTACTACTTTTACTAAAAGGCTCTGAATGCTTGTTTCACCACTGCTTGAAGATTATACAGCTGTTATCTGAGACATTTACAAAATGAGTTGTGTAAATCACTTTTTAGATGATATCAAAGCTATGCAGAACTTTATACAGAGGAGAGGAGATATGTAGCTGTGTTCCCTTCAGTGCAAACCCCTTTAAGGAAAATGCATGATGTGTAGTTTTGGGAATCATAAGTAAGATTAACTTGGCTTAACGCAGGTCAAGGATAATGTGAATAACAGGGCCATATAACAAATGGGGCAGAAAAAGACAAGTTCAAATTGGGCATGTGATTGTTATAAAGTAAACGTTCAGCCAGAGGCACACTGGTTTGTTGTCTTCTCACCTGTGTTTTTAATGCATTAACAAATTGCTCATTCCTCAAGGTGGTGAGTTTGTGTTCTTAAATGTAAAGAATGACAATTTACAGCATCTGCTTGGGTCCAGTTGACTTTTTAAAATTTTAAATTTAATGTAGACTGTAGATGATTTTTTTGTTCAATTTTTATTTTAAATGTATTAAAATTATGTCTTATCATTCTTGCAATATGGGCCCATCTTTTACAGGCTTAAACACAAAGACAGTGTGGAGTCATACTCACATTTATAATTTATAAATTTATAATGTGATAAAGATGAGGTTTTTCATTAGTTTAAACATAAAGTTCTAATTCTTTAACACCATGGTACCACCACGGTGTGTTAGTGTATATAGCATGTTACATATTGTTGAATTTTGCATTATCAGTTTAGTTTAATGTAGCGATGCTGACAAATTAAACAAAAAAGCCAGAATGAATGAGTGGGCTCTTCCAGGATGACAGTGGCCCCATCTATAGAGCAAGAGGGGTCACTGAATGGTTTGATGTGAATTATAAGCTGTGGCCTTCACAGTCACCATCTAAGCTGTTCTGGTGGCACGTGGTGGCCCAACACCTTACTAAGACATTTTATGTTGGGTTATCCTTTAATTTGACACCTGACTGAATGAATTTGGGTGATGCATGTCTGAAAAATCCATTCTGCTAATAAAATAAACATAAGATGTTCACGTTATTTTTGCAAAGAAAGTGAAAACGAAAAAAAAATTACTAATATATATTAAGTCCAATCGTGCAAATGAACCTAGGTTTGAATGGAGGACTGCTGCAAGGTGTGCCATAATGGCGCACTTTTATTAAGTTGGCGCCCCACCTAAGTTTTATCTGGTTTGTTTTATTTGAACTTAGCAACTATGAGTCATTGAAACCAGCACTGAAGTGATATAAAGTGTGAAGTTAAAACATGTTGCATGCTGCAACGACCTGTTTGGATACAGGCCATTAGGTTTGAAATGAAAAAAAAAAAAATCACAGTTGAAGCAGAGTAAAGATCCTTATCTAATTAGATCAAAACATAAATATACATGTACTCTAATCGCTTTGTTACCTCAATTCCTGGCAACCTTCCCTTGTTTAAATGCATTTGAAAAGTAAAAAATAGATGAACCACAGCCTGTCTACAGGTTATTCAATCAGACAATAATGCCCCTTGGGGATGGCTGAGGATTTTATTTCCTCAAAGCAGATCAAAGACAGGAAGTTTACACTGAACTGGATGCAGCAGAAAATCTACAGAGACATGACCTCCCTCCTCAGGTTATAACAAAGATTTCATTCATTTTCACAGCCTAACAAAGAATCAGTCACATCTTTTACACATCCGTAAAAATACACAGGTGCTTTATTCATTTACGTTATAATCTAAAACAATAGAATCATCTATGTTTTGACTTACCATGACCACTTAGGCTGAGCTGACTGCGGATGTCGTCCTTGCCGTGAAGCTGTGTACCTGCTCGTCTCGTCTGGTCAGATCTGGAGAGATATTAGAAGGTATCAAACGTTATAGAACTTTTTAACAGTCACCGCCCTGACAATTACAACCCAGCTTTCTAATGCAGCTAAACGCGGGGCATACACAAAACAAAAGAGGGGTGAGTCAAAGAAGAGAGTATGACACCACAGGGCGTGTACAGAGGAGGGGGGCAGACAGTCTGTGACAGAGAAGGAGAGGGAAGAAATACAAAACACGTTTAGCTGCACAATACAGAATTTTATTCACTGTACGGTGTGATTCGACATCAGTGCTGATTTTTTTTTATGATGTTGCGACATTTCACCGATGACTCACTCATCACCAGAGCAGCTGTTTTATTGAATTCCCAGCCCAGCTCAGGAGGACTCAGTGCCAATAATTTAAACGCTCTGACAGTTACAAATACAGCTACATGACCCAGGGCACCTTGTGTGTGTGTGTGTGTGTGTGTGTGTGTGTGTGTGTGTGTGTGTGCACTTTGGCCAGCCCTCATTTTGAAACACAAAGGGCTGTTTGAGAGTTAAGACTTTGTTTTAGGGTTAGATTTAGGTTAAAGTTGTCTGTGAAGATCCTCAGAAAGGTAGAAGTACAAACATATATGTGCATGTGTGTACGTCAGAGAAAGTGATTGCATGAGAGAGTGTGTTGACACCCTTGTTCTACCTGCTCTGTTGCGTCAGGAGTCAACTGCTCCTTCTGTCTGTCTGTCAGAGGTAATCTCTAAAACTATGGCCAAAAGTGTGTGGTCAAAACTTAAAAATATTAAAAATAGACCCTCAAACTGAAAGGGACACAGAAACACTTACCACAGAGGTAAGTGTGCACTCCTTGTTTTCTGTCCCTTTTAGTGTAATTTTGTTGCATCACTATTTAGTCCACATAAAAATTAAGGCAAACATTTTTAGTTCCAACTTCTCAGTTGTGAGAACTTTCTACTTTATCTTGTGTCACGGAACCGGATTTTTGAACGTGAGGGCACAGACGCACTATTTAGCAGTTGGAGTTGAGATTTAATTTTAAAAAAGTATGAGCGATATAAAATATACGGAGCTACTGTAAACAAAGCAGGCGCTGGAACTGACTGAATCTTAATGTGACAACCTGATTTATTTGTTTTGCTTCCAAGATTTACTACACATGTGACTGAAGATTGTTGATTACTTCATATGTGTTTGCTGAACATTTCAGGAGAATGAATATGCTACTAAAACGACCTCCACTCTTCTAGGAAGACTTTCCACAAGCCTTTGGTTGCAGAGAGGTTGTTTTTTGCAGACTCATGCATGGTATCACTTTTCAGCAGTGTCTCAGCTCTAAGGCTGGGACTTCTCATTTTGTCAGTCTAATGATATATAAGAACCCAAAAAACCAAAACAAAAATAAAAATAAACAAGTACTTTCATAATATTTACATATTTACCTTTATTAATAATCACTCAAAATATTGCGTTGTTAAAAATACAAGGTAAATATAAGAAATAACACAGGAATACTTTATATTTGCAGGTAAAGTTTTTTTTTAATTATTATTTTGTGACTTTTTCATAGAAAGTGTATAAATGCATCCAAATAAGAAAATAGTTTTTAAAACTTTTTAAAATATTGTTATGGTCTACAGTCAGAAATGTGATACTATGTGAAAGCCACACGACAGCCCCCGATATGGTACTGTGAATAAGACATACTACCAAGATATACTCAGTCCCTTCAAACACCATGGACTCCAGTTCATTGGGTAAACAGCGCTTAAACCAGTGCACTCTAATAAAACAGTAACAAACAATTAATGCAATTAATCTTCCTCCATGAAGGTGATAATGTTTGGTTTTGTTGAAACCTACTGTGAGAGAGATGTGTTATTTCCATCGTGTGGTCATCCTGAGGGTTTGTTGCACTGTATTATACTGAGAGGTGTTTCTTATATTACATGCAGGAAGGAAGAAACTGACGTTACTGAGTAAATGAGAGGTCTTGTATTTACAGTATGTGTGGCATTTATGGGTTTATAATGCCACAGAAACCTACACAGCCACTGTGCTGGAGTTTTATACAGCAAAGTTTTGTTCTCAAAATATCTCTCCAACAAGCATGTATCGTGAAACATGTAGTGTACTATAAGGAAACATGTTTGGGCTCCATCACACGTGACATGATTATACCCACTAACTACAGATGTACTGTTCAGCAGCGATCAGCGCTGGTGGGAGTATCTAAAACGTACAGTATTGCAATATAAAAATACTCCATTACAATTAATAATCATTCATTTGAGCACAATGTACAGTGCCTTGCGAAAGTATTCGGCCCCCTTGAACTTTGTGACCTTTTGCCACATTTCAGGCTTCAAACATAAAGATATAAAACTGTAATTTTTTGTGAAGAATCAACAACAAGTGGGACACAATCATGAAGTGGAACAAAATTTATTGGATATTTCAAACTTTTTTAACAAATAAAAAACTGAAAAATTGGGCATGCAAAATTTCAGAGGTCCGTTTAAAGCGCAGAGAGCATCATGAAGAACAAGGAACACACCAGGCAGGTCCGAGATACTGTTGTGGAGAAGTTTAAAGCCGGATTTGGATACAAAAAGATTTCCCAAGCTTTAAACATCCCAAGGAGCACTGTGCAAGCGATAATATTGAAATGGAAGGAGTATCAGACCACTGCAAATCTACCAAGACCTGGCCGTCCCTCTAAACTTTCAGCTCATACAAGGAGAAGACTGATCAGAGATGCAGCCAAGAGGCCCATGATCACTCTGGATGAACTGCAGAGATCTACAGCTGAGGTGGGAGACTCTGTCCATAGGACAACAATCAGTCGTATACTGCACAAATCTGGCCTTTATGGAAGAGTGGCAAGAAGAAAGCCATTTCTTAAAGATATCCATAAAAAGTGTCGTTTAAAGTTTGCCACAAGCCACCTGGGAGACACACCAAACATGTGGAAGAAGGTGCTCTGGTCAGATGAAACCAAAATCGAACTTTTTGGCAACAATGCAAAATGTTATGTTTGGCGTAAAAGCAACACAGCTCATCACCCTGAACACACCATCCCCATTGTCAAACATGGTGGTGGCAGCATCATGGTTTGGGCCTGCTTTTCTTTAGCAGGGACAGGGAAGATGGTTAAAATTGATGGGAAGATGGATGGAGCCAAATACAGGACCATTCTGGAAGGAAACCTGATGGAGTCTGCAAAAGACCTGAGACTGGGACAGAGATTTGTCTTCCAATAAGACAATGATCCAGAACATAAAGCAAAATCTACAATGGAATGGTTCACAAATAAACATATCTAGGTGTTAGAATGGCCAAGTCAAAGTCCAGACCTGAATCCACTCGAGAATCTGTGGAAAGAACTGAAAGCTGCTGTTCACAAACGCTCTCCATCCAACCTCACTGAGCTCGAGCTGTTTTGCAAGGAGGCATGGGCAAAAATTTCAGTCTCTCGATGTGCAAAACTGTTAGACATACCCCAAGCGACTTACAGCTGTAATCGCAGCAAAAGGTGGCGCTACAAAGTATTAACTTAAGGGGGCTGAATAATTTTGCACGCCCAATTTTTCAGTTTTTTATTTGTTAAAAAAGTTTGAAATATCCAATAAATTTCGTTCCACTTCATGATTGTGTCCCACTTGTTGTTGATTCTTCATAAAAAATTACAGTTTTATATCTTTATGTTTGAAGCCTGAAATGTGGCAAAAGGTCGCAAAGTTCAAGGGGGCCGAATACTTTCGCAAGGCACCGTATCAAAAGTACAAGTAGGCTACAGGTAATTCAGGCAAGTTCCACATGTGACCATAATAATGTGAAGGCAGTATTTTATTGTTGCAGTAGGAGTTAGTTTTAACTGCTTTATAAACTACAGGTCAGTTGATAAACCTGAGAGACTGGAGGTGATTAATTCAGTGCTAATTAGAAAGTAAACCTGCTGACCTTGCCTCAGCTGTCTCAGTACCAGAAATACAAGTCAGTTGAGTTTTAAATGTATTCAGCTGTGCTGCAAGAGCAAAAGGGGTGTGGGAGTCACACTGCCCCCCCGTGGTGAGACATTGTAGGTTTCATTTTGAAAGAAAGAAGAAGGTTCTGGGTTCAAGCTCGGCTCCAGTCCCCCCGTGACCCTGTTCAGGAATAAGTGGTATAGACAATGGATGGATGATTCAGAGGGGAAGGTCACAGGCAAACACTGAACCTGTTTTTCAACAATCTCCCAGTGAAAAACAAAAGGACACCCTTTACCTGAGGATCTGAATTATTACATTTCAGTTTGAATCCATGCATGAAACTGCAAAGTTGTATATTTAACTCCTTGGACTATCTGTGTAGTAGAGTGGGCCAGGACCTAGTGGGTTGTGAGATGATTGCTCCAAAAATATTATATTCTGATACACAAAATATGTTTATTTTCCTCACTTTGCTTCTCTTTTACAAAATACATTAGTTTTACCTCTTCAGGCTTCTAAAAATTAGTCAAATCAAATAATATGAGAAGACAGAATTCCTTTTTTGTACTGCTCAGAACTTATAAACAAGAAACCTATGATGAAAAACAGCTGAAACTTAATAAACCATTGGAATTACACAATTTATTATCACTATTAAAACTGGTTAAATAAGAAAACCTTGCTGTTTTTGTCATTATAAAGAGGATTGTTTTCCATATTAATACAGGTAAAACAGCATGAGGTCGTTCATCAGGCACAAAGAGACACAACGTTGACTCAAAAACACACAGTCTAACTCGCGTCAACCACGGAAACCCAACTGCTTAAATTATATTATAACACAGTTTATAGATTCTGCAATGAAAGGAGGGAACTCCATCTTGTAGCACTATAATCAAAAGGAAAATGAGCTGATGCATAGAAACACATAATAAAATTTTTCCATTACAAGCTGATGTGGACTGCTGTTGGCTGGACTCCTAGTAAACTCCAGGGTTGTTTCGGATCCCACAACAGAGCACCATGGTGAAGATCATCTCAAAGATCTGAACAGGAAAAGGTATAGAACTTTTCATTCTGTCTCCGTTCCAGTATTCGCATTCTTGTAGCTGATAAGATGTTGGCCATGTTGTGAGCTTTTATACGGCACAGCTGTGCAAAATATGTCACACCACATTTCAATCCACATGTTCAATCTGACACTCACCATGATGACAGCGACCACCAAGGCAGCCAGACCAATCAGATAGAGCTTCTGCGAGAACAGCTCAGTCAGTTTAACATGACAGCTCTGTGAAGAGACAGAGGCAGGGTAAAGACGGCGACCGCACCGACATGATGAACCAGAATTTTTTAGCCTTCGCGCTGTATGGATCTGACCACACATCTGAATAATTCATTATGTGACATTTTGTCTATCAAAGCTGTAAATACTAAGTGGAGGTTGAAAGGAATTACAGCTCTACTACTGTTTCTCTCTATTAAAGGTTTTTTGGGGAGTTTTTTCTTATCTGATCAGAGGGTTTAAGGAGAGAGGGTGTTCTAGGCTGTACAGACTGTAAAGCCCCTTGAGGCAAATGTGTGATTTGTGACATTGGGCTTTGTCATGTGTTTAAATGCTTTAATAAATCAATCCAAACTTCTTCTTAAAATGATAAAGACTAATACTACAGTAAGTTGCAATTTCATAAAATTTGAAATTTATGTTTGCCATTCTGTCAAATGATGCTATTAAATAATTTATTTTTTGTCTATTCTGTAACCACCAAAATATATTTCAAGTTAAGTCTAGATGGCAGCAAAAGCCAATAAAACATTCATATACAAGCTATAACAACCAAACATTAACAAGTTTAATCAAAAGCTCATTGTGAATTTTATTAAACGTGTGCCTACCACCGGAGTTTTCTGAATATCTACTGGAGTCTTTTTCAGACACAACGTGTTGGCGGCTTGCATGAAGAGCTGATTGTTATCTCCTTTACCACAGCAGTCGAGCTGAGGAAGAAACCAAGAGCAGAAACAAGAGGTCGCTCACTCAATAGATGCATAATTAGCTTAGATTTCTCTCCCCTACAGCCACATTACAAAACAACTGGTGTAGGCTAATACCACATCAGATGCTAATGAAGTGAAGACTTTCCATCACGACGTACCGTTTTGTGGAAAACTTCCAGCACCTTGAAGGCAGCGTCTTTATTGGAAGACCCTGAGACATCCACAGCCTTGATGTACACTGAGTCGTAGAAGTTTATCAGCTCCTTGGAGATCTGTGGACGGCAGGGAGTCAAGTTGTTTTAGAGACACAACTAACAGATCAGGTTCACTGGAAGAAAGGTGGAAAATCAATGCAAAAATCAAGCAAATATAGGCTTGTGTGTGCTTATGTGTTTACTTACTGTGTCCCTGTTCATGAAACCCCAAATTGCTGCAGCCACTTCACAAGCAAAGAGGATCACCAAAAAGAAGAAGAACTAAAAGAAAGGAAATGAGGAAATGTGTCTTGAGTGCCAAAGTCTCTAATGGATTAAATTAGTAATAATAAATCAAAATTAAAAATAAACGAATTAAATTAAAAAAAATTTTTTTAAATCCATGCTGGATAAAAAAATCACAGCTGCAAAGTCAAAGAGAGACGCTCACCGTCCCTAGCAGGCACTGAGATTCCTGAATGGCACCAAAACATCCGAGGAAGCCCACAAGCATCATCACAGCCCCGACAGCTATCAGTATGTACACACCTGTAAGCACGAAGACAACAGAAAACTCAAAAACACAACAGTTTAAAGAGTTGTCATGTTGACTTTGTGTTCTCAGAGCCACTAGGGGGCAGCAGTGTCAGAACAGTGTTCGCCTGCTGCCCACTCATTGATCCACACATTGTTAATAGGCTTGCTGAATGTTTCTCTTGCCTTCCCTGTAGAATGACATGACATTATCAACATCCTGCAGGTGGGGCGGTGCTAACTCTGCTTTGCTGCCAGGCCAGGAAATGCCCCTCAAGCCCCCTCTGAACCACTTCTACGGTGACTCCTGACCTCGACTGTTATCCTTCCCCAGGAAACAGGAGGACCCATGTGAATACACAAACGCCCACTTGCATATAAACAAACATCTTTGTGTGATTACACCTATATAAAGGAGTCTGACAGTGAAAGCTCAAACAATGTATTTACCATTAAAAATCTATTTTTGGTCATTGTCCATGGTCGTGACAAATACAGTTTCCATGACTTTTAACAGCTAATTGAAATGTTGTAACAGGCAGCTGTGCAAGTAGTCCTGTTTCAGCAAAAAAGGTCATGAGGCAATGAATGGTTTTCTGTTTTACACACATGCAGCCTGTGACAGAGTGGTCTAAAATGGACAGACAGTAGACTCTGACTCGTGCACGTTCAGGCCTCCAACACTGCACACATCACACACAATCCTTCCTCAAACTCAACACAGTCATTCTTTACCTACCCTCTGTGTTTGTCTTTCAGCACTTCATGTTTGTGTTGTGGTATGAAATGGCTACCAGGGCCAGTAACCCAGCAATGCAGCAAAGCAGGCATTATTTCCACTGCCTTCCATTACTATGACAACACCCTTTGAGGTTTGAAGGCTACTGAGACTTTAAGTGAGACGAGCAATTTTATACCACCAGGGAAGTTCATTTATCTCTTGTATCCCAGCGTAACATCCGGAGGCCACTTGGACCTCTCCCTCGTCTTCTCATCCTCTAACAGCAACAAAAAGAAGCTGTGAGTCCATGTCCACACTGTCGGAGTTTGACAGCAATGCACTTAGATGAAGCCAATCATACTGTATGTCAGTGATGAGATGATAAAGATTAATCACTGAAAGGCAGCATATACTATAAACCCTTTCCTTGTATCATTTTGATAACAGATTGTGATATTGTGGAAAAGGGGCCACAAAGCAGACATGGCAATGCTTGATAACAGAAAGATATTCTGGTTTAAGGGGCCACAAAGCAGACATGGCAATGTTCAAGGTTCTCTTTATTGTCTCCCTTGGGAGAACTTAATTTGTTTTACGAGTCACGCCATCACTGCTACAGCAAATAACAACAACACAATATGACATCACAACACAATAAGAACAAGACAACGGTTTGTAAGGTCCAGATCCAGCTGCATATGACCTGAGCCAAAACATTAGTGGAAAAAATATGACTAAAAACAATGAAGTGACATCTTTAAATACTGTATTAAATCAATCCAATTTACAAACTAAGTGAAATGTCAATGAGTCTATAAACATTGATAGCAGTTCAAAGCCGTAGTTTACCATTTCAGAGAAATATGCATATTCTCTTTCTTGTTGAGAGTTAGATAAAATGTTTGATACCACATTTGTGTCTCTAGGCTATTTAATATGAAGCTGGAGCAAGACACTTAGCTTAGTTTAGCAGAAGTAAACATCGGGAAACAGGTAGCCTGGTTCTGTCCAAGTAACAAAATAAGAAGCGAGCAAGACTATGAAGCTGAAGGGTATGGCGTACAGATGAGTTTTAATTTTAGATTTAACTGCTTCAACTGAATCAGACTGTCTAATGTCAGGAGAGAGGACTGGATAGGACAAAATCTATCTAGGATCACTAAGTTGTTCAATCTGTTCAAAGCCCAAAGTGAAGAAACAACAATTTGTGAGTTCAGGAAGTGATTGTAAATGGTGTTATACAGCACTTTTCTACAGTGCTTTAAACTATTTCCCATTCACACACCGGTACCAACTAGGGATCTGCACTTCAACATGTGGCGTGGTGAAGCTGGGTATTTGAGCCACCACACCTACGATTAGGAGGAAACCCACTCCACCTCATGAGCCACAGCTGCCCCATAGGTGTGGGTAGGTATATTGTGTTACTGTTGAAAAAGAGCTGGCTAGCCAGAGTGAACTACTGACAACTGCCACCAATAATGACTTCAGGCACTGGTTAGAGGTAAAAGCATGTGTATTTTCAGCCTTACATAAATACCACTTTGCTGTGCCAGCATGCTAAAAACATCCACCCCAAACTGTTTTGACGGGTAATGTGCAGATGTACAAGGTTATTTGAATTATGCAAGGGCGTACATTCAAGAGAGGAGAGAAAAAAAGCAACATTCCTTTGATGTCGCTTGGGTGGGCCTCTGTTGCCGCCCTGCCTCTAAAATCAGGAGTGTGCCTTTCCTTCTATAAAAAGCACGGGTTTGCCTTCACTCTGTATACTTACTCAGGGGTAAGTATGGAAGCCCACATGTAAATTAATGGGCTCACTAGAGTTCATCACCACAACAAACTGAGATGATGGACCTTGAAAATGTTTAAATCATATCATGTATTGAAGGTTTTAGGGCCAATCTGTGGATTGAAGGAGACATGATGATAATTTATGACTTTAGCTCCTGCAGTGAGCATAATCTGAGAGGCATACTGCTGATTCTGTCAACCAGTTAAACCCGTAACTATATCTTTCACAAAGATATACAGAGAACATGATGTACATCATTAACACAAAACTGCTAAAAATTCATGATTTTCAAATACTTTAAAATGACAGAAGACACATGATAGGTTTATTTGTGCACCATGCTCACAGCCCATTAAGTTTTGCACAGCCCACATATGTTTCAACATCTGTCTGAAGCATCTGGCCGCTCTCATGAAAGAACCTCGAAGCTGGGACCTTTTGAAGTCATAAACAGGATATTTATCTGATTTTGAGATCAACACCTATAGTCATCTGCCTCTGAATGACAAGTGAGTAAAACACCAAGGTGTAGACGCCAGCTGTGCCACGCTTAAGATTTACGTACTGTAGGTCCTGTTTCATGGTTGTTTCTTAGAGGTCACACTTCTATTACTATTTCAGGACAAACTGAGGCCAGTACACTCACTGAACATTCAGCACTGAAGTGTGAAATAATAGCCTAAAATAAATCCAGTGATGTAATGAGAAAAATATTCTCTCTGGTTCACTGAGCCACAATTGAACAATATTTTAAAAGACCAACTCAAAAATGCAGATTTACATTAGCTTCACATTATAATCACCTTCTATGTCATTTAAAGACTGGTGTGTTTGGGAAGCTCTGCTGTTAAAGATGTATACTCACTGATATAGAAAGTGCCCGGTGCCTGTTGGCCTTCAAACTGAAGTATGAGAAGGCTGCTGGTCTGATTGTCATGGCGGAGCCACAGGGCCACTCCTAAGATCACACCTCCGGCCAGCTGTGCCAAAGAGAAAAAGGTTTAAATTGTATTTTTCATTTTTCATTACTTTGGTGAAATCTTGAGGAGTGTCAGAGCAATTTAAAGTGTCTGATAGAAGGACGAATAATAAATAAATAAAATTTTAAGACTCATCAGGGTGTTTCTATATGATGACAACAGAGAATGCTGTGACATCTCGGAGCCTGACTTTCTTTAAATCAAATCCATGTCTGAACCTTTTTGCTACCTTTTTTTTCACTGCATGTCCAGCTGTGTCAGGAGGCAGCGAGCTGTCCGCTGTCTTTTAAGGGGAAGTGATGAAAGGATATCCTGACACCTCAGTGACCTCAACTCAACAGTTCTGTTGTTCAACCTTGTCTCCTTAATCTTTCCTCTTTTCTGTATCTAATAAAGCAGAAACATCCTGATGAAATTATTATCATAGAAAAGCTGATGGAGCATAACTGAGTTACACCCAGTGTGGTTTTGTTCACATGCGGACACTCTTTTCTTTATGCCAGTGTTTATATTAAGAAATCTGCACATTTAGAGCCATGGCTGCACTCTATTGTTCCCAATATGAAAAACAGCTAAATGAGGAAGGGACAGCTTAGATTTCTGAGTCGCATAAGGAAACGCTCAATCACGTGCTAACTTTGTGCTAATCTTAAAAAACACACAACGGAAAATTCACAAATGACCACACTAGGGGACACAGAGGTGGACAGCACATCTGTAGAAAGTCTGATGTTATATAATGAAGAGTAAAGGGGAGGGTGCTGCATTTGGCGAGACAGATTTGACGGGTACATGTACAATAAATGTATAATAAATAAACAGTTATTTTCAGTTTTGGGTGAGCTGTCTCCTGAGGTCTTTTAAGGTTTAAAAGCACAAAGGAAATGTGAGCAGGAACCTGGTTCCCCACCCCTGGAAACTCTAGCTCTGTTTAGTGTCTCTCCTAATGTGGTTTTAATTGGAGGAGAGTGAGAAATCACCCAGTACTGAGGTATATTTGGTTCAGTTTTAACTCCAAAACAGCTCCAGAAATAAGACTTTCCTGCCTGTAGTTTGTAAATAATGCCACCAGTTAGTTCTCTGAAATAATGGGTCTGAAGCCGAGTTGATATGATCCATGCTAAGATTTCTAAAAAAAAAAGCATTATTATCTTGGTGAGAAGGCTAAGGAGACTGAAGCCCACCGAGCCAAGACTGCTCCCCTCTTTCTTCTCTTCCAGTCACCTTGTGCTGCTGCCAGGCCATGCAGAAAATAACTGTTGATGAAGGGTAACAGCAACTTTAACGCGGTCTGTCCAAGGTTTTGTGTGATGCGCCACCTCTACTGATGCCAAACTCTCAGAGCAGCGTAATTAATATATCAGGGCGGGAAACTGTGCATCTCCTCCATGATTATCATTTATAAATGTTAAGCCCTGAGCTACACAGATGTGTAGGCTACATGTGCAGCTGTTGGACCGTGTCATCAAATAAACAAACAAACAAACAAACAAAACAATAAATAGAGAAAGTTTTAGGAAAGTTGGAAAAAGGCTACGTTACTCACACAAACGCGCAAAAGTCAAAAGGAAAAAAAATGTATTCAACTCACCCAGAAAATAAAATTAAAGAAGAATAACATAAATTTAATGCATTTCGTGCAGCCCGTCACAGCCATGTTGATAGTTTTGTCACCTCGTCCTTTTGCCTAAACACTTTATGAAGGGAGTCCACTGTCCGGAATACGCGCACGTATGTTCCTTTTTTATTGAGAGTGAAACCCGAGAAGGAGAACTGCCCACCGAGTGGACAGGAGGAGGCTGAGGGAGGCGCAGGAGGCTATTATTTGAACTTTTCCCATTCAGTAAGCCCAATAACCTGTTTCATTAGAATAATATAGCTAAATGATAAAACTGTCATTGTTAATAGGTTAAATGCTATATTATCCTGCATCCGTATCTACCGTAACTACAATTGTCCTTCACGTTATAAAATAGTTGCCATATTTTTAATCCAGTTTTTGTGATAATTAACAATCTTGCAAAGTAAAAGTGCTGTAATCATTTTTGCATTGAGCACTGGCGCCCTTTACTGGCACATTAAACACAGGAGGGGGGCTGATGGATATTCATACAGATCAAGTGCAGGGTGTTGAGCTGCGCAAAAATGTAATTCTCTCAACCTTTGTTTTTCGAAATCTCCCCACTGTCAGTGCAGTGAAACATACGTAAACTGCCAGCAATGTGATTAAAGTCTGGATTGTTACTCCCGTAGAGCTATATGATCGGGCTATTTGATATTATGGGCAGATCTGCGCGTTGGCTCCTGGGTCACACCTTCGCCAAGCAGCCGTGCGTAAAGATGATGAGTTGCAGTCGTGACCGACGGTAATCCTCCGAGCCACGACGTTAAATAAGTTGAAGAAGAAACATTCGGCAGTGATGACAGTTTCAACATCCTTAATATCGGAGAATCTGACAAATGATCCTCTACTGGGCATGCTCCATTTTATTTGACAGGAGAGCTGGACGGTAACAGCCGCTTTGGGCGTTATTAGGAGGCTTGTCGCCCCCTCATCTCTGGGTTTCTTTATTTAATCACGCAGCAGAGAACAACACTCGCTCGGACCGAGGATATCTCCCTCTCAGCAATGCATGAATGAAAGCGGAAGCCTCCGAGCAGGAAAGCATCTCTGTGCCGAGACAAAGATCTGCTGTACAGTGGCGGAGTGTCATTAAACATAGAGAGGCAGCGGGCTGAGCGTTGGTGTGAAGGAGTTGAATCTGTAGGCAGCAACAGAGGAGGGACTGAGGCAGCGCCGAGTCTCCATCAGGAGCTGCCGGACAGGCGCTGTCCCCTCAGCACCACCACAATCGCCTTGCTGTGATAGTCACAACCTGGTCAATTAGCCTACCGCAACCCGTGGAGTCCAATGAGCTGGATTTATTCTGTTTATCTATTTGCCAGCGTTTGCCCTTTTATCTCGACACTCTGGATTTACCGACGATGTGACGTCCATTCTTAATGTGATGCCATTGGCTGCAATCATTTTGGATTTCGGTTTTGTGCCCTCCAGTGGGTCTGGCACCTCTAAGCTTTTATGTTTTTTTATGTTGCACGGTAGGTGCGTGTAAAAATACAGGTCTGAAAGGGAATATAGCCAAGCGGTCCTGGTTTCTGCCATAGTTGGAAACGGCAGGTTGCTTTGCGCGCTCCTTCCCTTATGTAATTGTTTTCCTCAGTCTAATCATTGCTGTGCATGGTTGCACAGTGCGCCTAGACCTGTCTTTGCGATGAAGGGAACTTACTGGAGAAATGTCTAAGGGACGCAATGGGCCTGAGCGACGACAAGGATCGCATTGTGATAAACGTGGGAGGGATCAGACATCAGACATACCGCAGCACCCTGCGCACTCTACCTGGCACTCGCTTGTCCTGGCTAGCCGAGCCTGATGCACCCAACCATTTTGACTATGATGCCAAGATCGAGGAATTCTTTTTCGACCGCCACCCTGGCGTCTTTGCACATATCCTTAACTATTACAGGACAGGTAAACTGCACTGCCCCGCTGATGTCTGCGGCCCCCTCTATGAGGAGGAACTGGCCTTCTGGGGCATTGATGAGACAGATGTGGAGCCATGCTGCTGGATGACCTATCGCCAGCACCGGGAGGCAGAGGAGGCCCTTGATAGTTTCGGCGGGGGGGGCTTGTTAGACCTGGTGAGCGATGATCCGGATCCAGAGCCGGAGCATGCTGAGGATGATGTTGATGAAATGACAAGGGGGCTGGCGCAGGGAGACTCTCCTGATGCCAGGAGTGGGAGCCTGTGGAGCCGGTGGCAGAAACATGTTTGGGCTCTGTTTGAGGACCCTTACTCCTCTAAATATGCAAGGGTGAGCTGACTGATATGATATTTACTTGTACTAAGCTGTTGAATTGTTCTTCTTATTTCACTTCAGATTTGGGTACATAGGCACATTCTGAGCTAAAGTAATATTCTAAAATGTTTCATGGGTTTGAAGCAGTCACTGCAGCTCTGTGAGGCTTTGGGGAGGCTTTTGATGACCTTGAAATCGCTCTCCCATGTGTCTCCACAGCAGTGGTGTAACTGTACAGAGGAGGAGGGAGGAAAAATAAACCAAAAACCTCATCTGTCAAAGTCATTTACATGCAAATCAGTGCTGCCACCTCCCTCTATCTCACAGAAGAAAAAAAAAACCATTCAGTCTCTTGCAGGTATTTGGATTGATATTTCCAGGACACAAGGATGCCTGGGCAGGCTGGCTCTTTAGTAAAGTAGGTCAGCTACACAGGAAATCTGATCTTTGGCACCAGCAGGATTTTAGTGGCAGACCTCCAGACATAAAATCTGTTGCTGTAACAGGTGACAGTTTTGATCTTTATCACAGCCGCTTTTCCAACTGGGCGCAATGCCTCTCGCTGTTGAAAATGACTTTACACTTTGTTATTTTTTATTTTGACCTGTGCCCCCTACACAGTCTGCTGTGCTGCATGCTGCTTTAACAGCTGCAGCAGCTCGATTGTGTAATTAGCTATTAGGCCCTATCCACATTCTCACTCTTACAGCAAGCACTAGAGAAACTGGTTTAACCAGCTCACACACATACACTTCTTTCAGATTTCACCTTTTGCATGCAGAGAAATTTCCCAAAGTAGAATCTTCACAGAAGTGTCCTACATTTAACAGCGAGCAAGACAAAAGTAGAGCAAGGACTGACAGAGCTTCACTAAGACTGGCAAGAAGATTAATTAGAACTGAGCCTCAGAGTTAATTACAGACTCTATTCACAGTGGATCCATCAGCGGACCCTTGTCACTGCATATCACTGTAGGCATGTGGTTTGCCAGCAACAGTGAGAATTAACCAATAAGGAGCAAACGATCTTTGCCTATCACCTTCCCTTCAGGCCACACTGTGCCTAACTGTCACAAAGACATAATTTAAGAGGCGGTCTGATAAGATGGAGCGTTTGTTGAACAGTTTGAAGAGTGGGATGTTCAGAGGGCTGAATGAGCCAATGTGTCAGCAGGCATCAGCAGCTGACATTATAAGAATGAGGTTTTATAACATTGGCAGTCGCAGTGATATTGATTTTTTTTTATCTCTCTTGCTAATTGATGCAGAAGAGCTGGACAAAATAACAGGAAAACCTGCCAGATGGCTGTAGCTAAGGATCATTTTATGTGATTGTTCCCTGGGTTAACAGAATAATAATTTGGACCATAAAACATCAAAGAAAAAAAAAAGAAAAGAAAAATGCCACAACATGTTAAAATACCTTTTTTCTGTCTAATTAACCAACGAAAACCCAAGAGATTTTGTTTATAATCACAGAAGACCAAGAAAACAGATATTCCAAAATATGTGTGGAATAAATCCAAATAGTAATTAATCACATCAACACAAACAAAATGACGATGAATCAGTGACAGATCCATGAAGGAGGATTTAATGTTGATTCCCCTCATTGTTATTTCTTGAGATCATAATTTGCAGTGTGGTTATTTTTGTTGTATTATAGTCTAGGGTGTACTTGTTATTTTGCACAGCACATACTGTGGAGGGGGTGGAAAAAACAACATTACGCAATCTGATAAAACAACACCACATACTAATGCCTGACAAACTGACACATTTCTCTTCCACTGTATCAACACAAGCTGAAGATAATTAACTTGACAAAGCTACAGTTTTAAAGTAGGCTTGTACTTGATTGCATTAAAATGTCAAGCACTTCTTTCATCCACACGCTACTTGTGCGTTTAAAAGATTAACATTTTGTACTAAATTTAAAAACCCACCAAACCATTCACACATTCACGTGCAACATTATAGCATTTAAGCTGAAGTAAATCTTGATTTTTGCTCTTAAATTTGATGTCTGACCCTTAAGCTTCAGATAAACAGTGATGTTGTCCCACTGAGCAAAGAGGACAGAACAGGAGTCAGTGTGCTGCAGTCACTGGACCATCATACTAACATGGAAGGGAAGCAGATGTTCATAAGCAGCTATGATTTCCTCAGCACAGTGCAATGATTTGCCAGTGATGAGGTGTTATGATGAGGGGCCTGTTTTCCAGCCTTACTAACACACAAGTGGACACAACAAGGTTCCCTTTGCTCAGTGGAATATAAGACTTCCTCATGTCCAGACATGCTCCTTGCTGCCATTCATTACTCCTCCCATCTACTTAACAATGTGCACGAGGTTAAGAAGCACTACAGTCTCTCATAAAGATATCTTCATGCATGAACTAACTTCTATTTTTCATTCATAGGAAATCTACTCTGTCACCTCGCTGTCCATCACCTTTGACCTATTGACCTCAGACCTCCATTGTAGATAGCTTTTTGTATCCATTCAAATTCCAGTAATACACATGTAAACTAGTACAGTATGATCAAAGGAGGATAATATGAGGACATGATTGTAATATATACCCAGCTGTATCTGTTACAGCCATGTAATATGCATCAGAAACATCAGAACCTAAGTGTGATCATTAAATCAATATGTAATGTAAGGCTAAGCTAAGTACTCTTTAGGTTACTTTACATAGGTTTTCATAAAAGTCTGTCCTCAGCTCACCAAGCCCCTCAGCCCATTAAAATTCTCAAGAATTGATCATCTGGACAGTATGACCTTGCTCAGGGAAGAACTACTGTACTGTTGTGATGATGCTGAAGGGAAGAGCCCCAGCTAAATTTAGTCATGGGGCTTGACACTAATGTGCTGGCTGCTGCTGCTGCTACTGCTACTGCTGGCTCTTTGTAATTCTGCATGTGGCATACCCTTCAAAATGCTGTGACCTTGAGATAAAGCAGACGGAAGGGAAGAAACAACGGAAAGCTTGTATCGATTGTCCCTTTTTCAGTGACTTGTGAATCAAGACACATGGAGGGGTGGTTGAGAGAGTGCGTCAGTGTCACTGTCACTATTAAACCGGATGCCACTGTCTCAGATTACATCCATTTTGGAATTGTATTAGGTTTTGCTAAGAATGGCTACTGGTACAGTACACGGCACATATTACTGTGCCCTTTCTCCTCTCTGTCCTTCTGCCCTCTCTTCCTCTCTCTTCTCTAATTCTCTTTCTGTACCCTGTTTGTCTTTTCTGCTCAGTGGGTGGCTCTGGCCTCGCTGTTCTTTATTCTGGTGTCCATCACCACCTTCTGTCTGGAGACCCACGAGGCCTTCAACCCCATCATCAACCGCACTGACCATGAACTGGTGGACAATGTCACAGTGGAGCACACCTACCAGGAGACTGAGACTGCGGCCTACCTCACCTACATTGAAGGCGTTTGTGTGGTGTGGTTCACTTTTGAATTCCTAATGCGAATAACTTTCTGCCCGAATAAATTTGACTTCATTCGAAATGCCCTCAACATCATTGACTTTGTGGCCATCCTGCCTTTCTACTTGGAGGTTGGCCTCAGTGGACTCTCCTCCAAGGCAGCTAAGGACGTGCTGGGTTTCCTGAGAGTGGTTCGTTTTGTGCGGATCCTACGTATTTTCAAGCTGACACGTCACTTTGTGGGGCTGAGGGTGCTGGGCCACACATTGAGGGCCAGTACCAATGAGTTCCTGCTCCTCATCATCTTCCTCGCTCTCGGTGTCCTCATCTTTGCTACTATGATCTACTACGCTGAACGGATCGGAGCCAACCCTAATGACCCTCGAGCCAGCGACCACACGCACTTCAAGAATATCCCAATTGGATTTTGGTGGGCAGTGGTGACCATGACAACCCTCGGCTATGGAGACATGTACCCTAAGACGATGTCCGGGATGCTGGTCGGAGCTTTGTGTGCCCTGGCAGGTGTGCTGACCATTGCCATGCCTGTCCCTGTGATTGTCAACAACTTTGGAATGTATTACTCGCTGGCCATGGCAAAACAGAAACTACCAAAGAAAAAAAACAGGCATATCCCTCGGGCACCCCAACCAGGTTCTCCAAACTTCTGTAAGTCAAGCATCAGCTCCCAACACCAGAGCCCCATCGCCCATGATGACGTTTTCGAGATAAAGTTTCAAGGTAAGAAACAAGGCTAATATATATTCAGATCAGTGTTACAGTGCAGGACTTGGCTTGACTCACAATATTCTTTGGCGACTTGGACTTTACTTGGACTCAAACACAGGGCTCTCAAGACTCAACTCGGACTCGAGGTTTAATGATCCGACTACAACGTCAATTCAGATATATTGTCACCTCATCATTTCTCTGTCCTCCTGAAGCAGCTACTGTATATCACCGCTCAGCTGTTCTGTTGTTTCTTTGTTCCCAATAAGCTGATGATTCAGGCACAAGATTAAACAAATGAGTTTCACACAGATAATAATCAGTAAAAGATGTGATGTGTGACTCTGGATCAAAGACTAGAGAGTTTGAGGCAGACTGTGAGTAATCTTGCTATTGATTTTGCTCTTCTTAATGCAGTGATTCACTCCTCCTCTCTTAAGACTAACTGAGAGTCTATTAGTGCTCATGTATTTGAAATGTTAAGAACATGTACCCAGATGCAAGAAGCACTTGTTTTCCACTTGGATTGCTTTGGTAGCATTAGTGCAAAGGTATATTGATTTTTGATATGCCTTGTGCTGTGAAATATATTGAACAACAACAGATTGCAAAGGGACAGTTTAAAGCAAACATTAGATAGCAGCTATACATATTGTAATATTGTACGAGTTAATCCCTATGTGCATTGAGGTTGTAGAGCATGAAAATGGAGGATTTATTAAGATATTAGCACTTGAATTCTGAAAAACCGGTATATGAAACCAGATTTTTGTGTTTTTTTTCTTTCTTTTCTTTTTCTTTATTACTTTTAAATAAGATTCCAAGCTTAACGGTGAGGCAGCTAACGCAGCTCTGGCCAATGAAGATTGCCCTCATATAGACCAGGCCATATCTCCGGAGGAAATCTTCAGCCCCAGCGAGAGAGAGCGGCCCTGCTTCCTGGTCACCACTGCTGAATGCCCCAACCACACAGGGGGCAGAGTAAGGAGGGGTATGTACAGTAACAGCCAATCACAGGCCCCTGTAAGACACTGACATAGACCGTAGACAGGTCAGGGCTCCTTTTACTGTCTTTACTGAGTGTTACACCTCAGTTTTATACAGGCCCACACACACACACAAACACACACAACTACAAACCTCATACTACCACTTTCACACACTTTCACTGCAGCTGCTTCTCCTCAGTCATCCCTTTCGGAGGTGTATATATTCCAAGTCACAATAACATTTGTTAATGCCAAGCACAATCACCACAAATGTCAATAATGGTCTACATCTACATAATATATTTTTTGATACCATACATAATGTAGTATTTATTTACCAGTAAGAAAGCTATTTTTGAATTTTTAAGATCTAGAATGTGTTGTCTTACATGCCTAAAGAGGTATTTATGTGCTGTGTCTGTACCATAGCGTGTACCATGTATGTATATGTGTTTTAAAGATAAATACCATGCAGGATTCTGACTTATGAGTACATTGCTCTTGACCATAATGGTGCATGAAGTGTCTTGCTGATGGGTGCTATCAGTATGGTGAAGGAGAACAACACAAATGGAGGAAGGCTAATGTCAAATATTATTAAGAGCCAATTTGTAGTTTACATATTTTTGCATTTTAATAGCAGGGTTAAGCCCATATTGTTTATTGTATTCCTTTACTACTAATGTCTAAAACATTTCTAAGTCCTGTTAGCCTCCAGCTGTGTGTGTGGCCAGCACATCAGCAGTAAATGCCATAAACTATGAAATTCTACCTGTAGCTGAGAAAACATTCCCTACCTGAGGTGCCTACCTTTTCAAGTCTTTTATAGTGTTATACTCCAAACCATTCCAGTACCACCCGGTGCATGCTGTTGTACTCCTGATGCTCCCAATGCATGGAGAGTAATAATCTGTCCCAAGTCTGTGTTGACCTGTTTCTTTGGAGACAAAAACAAGAAAGCAACAGGTGTAGTATTAGTGAGGAACACATGATTCAGTGCTGCAGTGTACTCAGAACGTTCTCTGTTTTTCAACTGAAGGTTATGAAAAGCCTTGGAGCCTTAACAGCATGTCTGGCATGAGCGGGGATGCTTCTGGAGTGTCCTCAGTGTCCGCCCTGCCCTGCAGCCCACCCTGTCTAATGCAGCACTCACATTCTCCCATCCCATCCATTATGTAGCATGGTTGAGTAGCAGACACAATGCCATTGGAAGGCCAGTCCACACTCCTTCTTATCTTTCCTGTCAGATTTTGCTTTTACACTTGCCTTCGCTCCTGCCTTTTCTTTCTTTCCTTTTCATTTGTTATTGCTTTATTTTTCTGGAAAACTGTATCTTACCTGTGCTAATACTCAAGCTTCCCAAGTGTTCTCCTTGGGTGTGTCATCATATCCTAGACTAGAAAACATTGGCACATGCCACTTTGCATGGGTCACCTCAGTTGCAGACAAAGCACTGTTCTACTTCTACCGCAGGCTAAACCTCACTTTCTCCCTGTGTTTACATCATTGCCTGTTGCTCTGTTGCTTTTGATCTCGCATACTCTTCTGCCAGTAACTTTTATCTCATCTGCTTTTTGCAATTTTGTGAAAGAAATTTTCATAAGATGTAACCCCCTGCTAATAATATGCTGGACATTAACAATACATGGCTTTTAAACATATCCCAAAGGTATCATTGCCAGCTGTTAAGGAATCTCCTCTTAAGTGCTTTGTACGTTGCAAAGTAGAGACGTTATCTTTCTGAAAGTGCAACACAAGACTTAATGTTGAGTGGCCGCTAAAAAAAAATTTGAACACGATGTTCATGATATCCAATGCAATATGGAGATGATGACAATTACTATGATACTAGTGATGAATACATCTAATGTCAACAGATCTAGAAGCTGTTTGATCATTTGCATGAACTGCATGAGAAATTCTGTTCAACGAGAAGTTACAGTAACTGTATCTCAGTACCTGTTCAGAAAAAAATAAGTTTTTCTTTCAAAAGCTTCTAAAGCGTTGTCATTTTTATGCATTTTGAAACAGCTTTACAAGAGACTCAGTCATAGCAGAGGTTTTTATGTAGCTGCCATTCTTTGCCTTTCCCCAAATTCATATTTATTTTCTTGTATTTATTTGACTGGGGCCTCTGACTAAAATAGTGTAATTTAACTTGAACAATCTGTCATAAAGCCAACTAATGCTGTTATGAGCATAAATAGTTTTTATACTTATTTATTTCCTGGTAGTTTTTAAACAGTATTGGTAGTCTGCAGCAACTTCAGTTAATGCCGTGATGCCTAAATTAAGGCAAGACTCATGAATTATAAACAACGGTGCCTTCAAACCTGGCGAGGCAAAGTAAACGTGAGTAATAAATTGACAACATATTACATAACTGCTCCCAGTGTAGCATCAATACACTTTATACCATGCTCATAACAGTGTAATGAAAGCTTTATTTTAAAAGGTGCCCTTTGTACCTTTTGCGCCACCCTGTTACCGTTAATCACAGTAAAAATGCCCTCTTGGTTATTATTGTTACACCATCTAGTCCATACAAGGATTAACTCTTTAGTCATATATACACAACTCTAAGCAAAAAATGCCTGAAAATACTGACTTGATAGTCTCCAACTCAAGAAAAATTTTCTATGATAAAGCACAAAATATTACTAAAGGGGACTGGACAACAGAGCCAAAATATATAGTTACCTTTAGCCAGGGTTGTCATGATGACTCCTGCAGCATGTATGTCTATTGATTTAAAATATCAATACTGTTACTGTTACATGTATTGATACTGCCCTATAATTATGCACAATTTTTCAGGGCACTTTAACAGATTTTATGTTGACCAATCAGATAATGTTAATTTCTAGAAGATATAAGTATAGCAACTCATTTAAGTTTTGTTTTTTATTCTGAATTTACATTTTGAGTCGTGTCTCTTGTGGTAATTAATGGACATTATATATTTATTAAAAAATAAAAATAAAAATGAAAACCTTGTGAAGATTTGATGTGAAGAGATGCAGGTGAATTCTATGCTCATCCAATTCCAGTGGGAAAAAAAAATTCAGTACAACACATTTTGGGATGTGGGTCTACTTGGGGAAAGGTAAATGCATGTATTTTACATTTATGCAACAGAAAAGTATTCAAATAAAATATGTAAATATAAGTCCTTGCATGAAATAAATTTTGTACACAACAAGCATTTAGACTCCGTTTTTATTCAACAACACATGCATACATACATCTTTCCTTTCCTTCTGGTTTTCGGCTAGTGCTTTCAAAGTGCTGTTTGACCCTCCGTCTCCCCGTGTACGGGTCAAAGAGAGCACAAAAACGAGGTGACTGTGAGAGCATGACGCAAAGTATACAAACGCATGACAATGACTGAACTACTGTACATCAACCCATAAAACGCAGCATGATTAGGCATGTTTATTAACCGACTCTGACTCTGACATCTGTACACAGACGGTCCATCGTTGTCCGATGCCTTGGCTAAGCATGGGAACTACATGGTAAACCTGTCGTTTACCATGAGGAACTAACGGAGCACATTTTCTTTAATCTCCAAGCTAGTGCCATTTCTCACCCCTCCCCACACCTCGGGGACATTCATTATCACCATCATTTCCATCAGTATACATAATTTGTGTAATAATTTATTTTTGTTATTGTTTTTTATATGTTTATAGAGACCCAGCGACAACACCGGAGCAGACAGCCAACAGAGTCAGTTTGTGTTATGAACCATGGTGTACCAACCACTATGTGTGTGACCCATAATGGCCCATCACCCACCTGATAGCGCTGTAACATTGTTGTGTGTTACTTAGTATTTTTAAGTGGGTGTGACAGTGACAACCTGTACATCACAAACTCAGCATAGATGTAGCCCTGAATAAGTTTTGTTGTCAAGCCTTATGTAGCTCAGTATCTGTGTTGTAATCTGTGTGCCTCTTTTCTGTGTGTGCCAGTGCTGTAAATAAGCTTTTTTGTGTGCTGAAGTTGCGTGTACCAATGCTTCTGAGTGGTCATCAAATATTTGTGTGCTTATTCTGTTGAAGAAGAAAAAATGACGCTCCAATTTTAATCACCCCCTCAGCAAAAAAAAAAAAAAAAAAAAACTGTCACTTGTCATGTCAGCCAGACTAAACAGTTGGAAAAAAGTCGTGAACTTTGCACTGTCATGGTCACATTTTTGTTGACTTGTGCACTGTTTTGGCACCAGTGAACGTTCAACATTCTTTTGATATGTTTTGGGGCGTAGTGAGATAACATCCACAAAAGTGAAAGAAGGGCATACTTTCAAAAAAACACCACTCATACCTTGTATTAACAAGGTATTAAAACAGTAAAGTGAACTGTTAGAAATCGGTAAAAGACTTAGTTGGTTATCCACCGTTAACTGAATGTTAATATATCTTTATATGTGACTGTACTTTGGTTAACAAATACCGCTTAAATATTAAATACATTAACTTGTAGTTATTTTATAGTACATTTTAATTGACAATCATGTAGAACTGGATATTCTTTTTCTGATTATTAAGCATGTATTTTTAACTAATGCCGAAACATTATACACATCATACAAGTGCCTCTGTTATGCGAATTCTTCTTACCAGTCAGAAGTATAGCTTAATAAACATGTTAAACTAATTTACTTTTTATTTCAAATTGACCGTCAATCACCAGCCATTAGAAACAAGGGTAACACTTTATTTTACAGGTCTGCTATTTCCTAATAATTACTTTAAAGTTTCCTGGAAAGAACTATGTAGTTTGCTATTAATTACAGAAAAATAGGGACATAGTTCTAAAACACATTTTTTTTCTTAGTTAGTGCACTGAGTTGTGTTTATTATTGGCTTCCAGATGAATTTCCATGAAAGAAATCACTCAATGTAAACCTAGTATTTACAGTTTATTTATGAAATGTTTGAAATGTATTCTTCATTTATTCTGAACATTTTGCATGTGTAGTTCACTTTCTGTTCTCTGAATAAAAGCCTCAGGTTTCTGCTAGTTTAGCATTTAGAAATGGAAGCGTATCATCTGATCACTCTCTAATTTCACCTATAGTTAGTACCAAAATTATGTCTCTCATTCCGGGAAATTTATTAGGAAGTTATTCATAAATAAAGTGGAATTTACAGACCTGCAAAATAAAGCGTTACCAAAACAAGCACCAGTTTCAGTGCTCAAAAAGCAGACAGAAGCAATAACGACCCCAGTGCAGATCAGCTGCTAAAGCCAAACGATGAGCATATCTAATTAAAAAAAAACACTCATTTGATACTACAGTAAATACAGATTCATTGTTTGTGTGGAAAAGGGACCAACTTTTTACCAAACATATGCAAACACTGCCAACAACTTACTGAGATCTGTGTGCAGGTGTAGCAGATCTGGATCTGCCAAAAG